CGCAGAGACAGACAAGCACTCGGGATCTGTGCCCTGGCGGCCTGCGCGGCTCCTGGCTCAGAGAAACGCTTGCCCTGGTGCACTAAGAGGACAACCAGGAACTATAAATAATGAGATGTGCGTATGACAAAGGGGTGAAGATGAGAGGCGTAAACAGGAGGAATAGAAAGAGAGAAGGGAGAAGGGGAGGAGAGACATATCAATACGTGACCCGAGGTCGGCCGTGCGCAGCCTGAGTCAGATCAGTCTATGTCGCACAGGCATGGATATAAACAAACCATATTGTGCATATCTATCACAAAGATAACGGAAAGGCATCAACTTTACTTGTCAAAGTAGGAACAAACAGAAGTATATTGAGCAATAGTTCGATTTCAAACTTTCCTATATTACATAATGATCAGATCCTAAGGAAATTCTATCGTCAGCCTTCTAAAATAGTCATTATCTGGCAGCTCTGATACAGGCTGCTTCGAATTAATTATCAAATACATCTATTCAATAAATGGAGGGAAAAAAATATATATGGCTATGTTTATGGTAACACATGGCATCATAACCCAATTCACAGTCCAAGAATCATTAAATGTATATGCACAGATATATATCAACTTCGTCTTTTTCATGAGTTATGAAACACTTTTTTTCCATGTAAACTCGCATGGTGAAAGCACTGCGACAAGACCCCCATGCACTCGCCACATATTTACAGACATGGTTTTCAAGCGGCACTGCCTTTCGGCGCGTGTCGTTCCACAACTGTCGCGCCAGATTCAGTTCCGCGGTTCAGTTCGCGTCTTTTATCATTCTCCGGATCGGCAAGGAATGCAGAATTACCTTTGTTTTATCATAACCAAATCGAGTCTGTGTCCCGTTTCCTTTTTTCATGTCGAGCTTGCAGCACCAAGCAAGTCACAGCACCGGAAGCACCTTCTGGGGGAGGGCTTTAGGACACCGCGGCGCCCGAGGCCTCCTTCGGCTCGCTCACTCGGGCAGGCGAAAGGGGGGGGGGGGGCGGGCAGCACACTGGCCTTGGGATGCACTTCGCTTCACTTCTGTTCTCTCTTCTGCCCGGGTTCCCGCCCTTCCTCGCTCTGCCGCCCCGGCGCCCTTCCAGCGGGCTCCGTCGCGCTGCCATGGCAACGCCCAAGGGGCAAGCACGCCCTCCCTCTCCGGCCAGACGAGGGCCCGCCGCGCGTCGCACTCCGGACTCCTCTCCCCGCCCCTTCTGCCCCTCCTTCGTCGCCGAGATTCCTCTGAGCGGCGCCATTCCTTCCAGGCCGCCCGCGCCCCGCCCGCGCCCTTAGGACACCGTGCACATGCACTCGCACTCCTCCCGCGGGCGCCGGCAACTGTTGCACCACCAGTTGTCCCACGCGCTGCTGGTGGGCGTGCTGGAGGAGGAGTCCGAGGAGGACGAGGAGGAGGAGGAGGAGCCGTTGGGCCTGGCGTGGCTGCTGAACGAGGAGTAGGCCGCCCACGTGTTCGCCCGCCGCCGGTGCGCCCACGCCGAGGAGAAGGACCAGCGGGAGGAGGGGGAGTGGGCGGCGGTGCTGGCGGCGGAGTCGGATCGATACATCTTGTCTAACTTGTTACTGCACTGAGAAAAAAAGACATTCACATTGCAGGTTTCTCGCCTTGGACTCTGGACGCTCATGATATTGAAAGGAAACAAAACAAACTGCAAAGGAACTGAAAAGCTCAACTCGATACCTACGTCAGTCGCCGCCGCCGGCCGGGACCAGGAGGCCGCCCCAACGGACGGCAGAGCTCGCACTCGGGCTGCGCCGCCGACCAGGACGGACCAAACACGGACGCAAGCATTGCAAACAGGGCCAACACATAAACAAGGACGCACACACTGACAACATATGTGCGCGCGTGAACGTGTGTGTTTGTGTGCGCGTGAACGTGTGTGTCTGTGGGCGCGTGAGCGTGTGTGTCTGTGGGCGCGAGAGCGCTGGTATATAGATTATATAATCAAAAGCAAATAAGCAAACAACAAATAAAGCTCGTGACACAAACACGCACAGACATAGCAATCACAACAAAAACAAACACATCAAAATATGCTCCTCCGCCGCCACCACAAAGAAATGCCAGAAAACCGCGGCAGACGCAGTTCCCGTATTTCCTCCGATCGGCATCGACGGCCTCGCCGCTACAACGAAGTCGCTCGCGAAATAACAACACCCGGACTGCACACTCAGTCGCAGCAGCAGTGCAACAGGTGGAACGGAGGCGAATCAATACCGCTTCGCAACTTACGCATCAATCGATTTCCCCAACGCACCTGCACGCACGCACGCACGCACGCACATGCAGACATACACAGAGGAGGAAGGGAGAAAATGAGAGAGAGAGAGAAGAGGAGAGAAGGAGAGGGAGAGAGGAGAGAAGAGAGAGGGAGGAGAGAAAGGAGAGAGGGAGGAGAATAGGAGAGAGGGAGAAGAGAGAGAGAGGAGAGAAGGGAGAGAGAAAGGAAAAAGGAGAGAGGGAG